CGCCACCAACCACCTCCATGGTCTCACATGTTCCTGACTTAATTGACCAATGAAAGGACGCGACCAGCGGTGCAGCCACCAACTCCACCACCTGACCCAACTGATTGTTGCAGGCTCAGACACGCCACACGCACAAATTGGCTTTATGTTGTGCATCCCCTGTAATTTGGACGGTGTAGGCTGAAACAAGTCCTCACCATGTACTTTCAACCCAACCCCATTTTCAGGTCACCGTCAGACACACAGGCACACTCAAACGCCAGCTGGCCTTGTCGAGGCCTGCTCAACTCATGTCCATCAAATGTAGCCAATCTGTGAACCGTTTATTGATTTTCCTAATACCAGGCTCCACAACAGGTGACACGGGTGCGACAATTGATTGTTCCCATGTTGCTTTGCTCACATACATACACACACACACACACAAGAATACACAAACCCAACAAGAATAGCTGAGTTGTCTGACGTCAACTGAACCAGCCAACCACCGTTGGATGCCAGAGGGGGCGTTTCAATTGTCACTCTCGTCGAAACCATGACGGGGTAAGCGGAGGAGGTTTAATCTGTTTCCGTGTCCCTCTTGGGAGCGAAAATCAATAATTGTGAAGGTATTAAATAGTCTACTCCTGAGAGGGGTCATCAACGGCACTTTCAAAAATCGATGCGTTGAACAGGCGTCTGGAAGCCAAATTTACACCCCGTTTAAACGCGTCCAAAGCATTGCGTAGCAGGCATTTAGCATTTTTGCGCCAGTTAAGGTACCATTTAGTTTGGAGAAAGTTTGCAAGCCGTGGAATTTGTGCGTCATCGCCCCGGCAACAGGGCACTTGATCCCACGTCAAGGGGCAACCTGATCCACTCCACGCAACGAGCAGTAATCGCAAGACACGCGCACCACACAGCACCCCTGACGCCCTGGTTGCTAGGGTCAGCGGATCGTTTGGATGTTCACGTGGTAATGAAAGGTGAAGGGGGGGTGTGTGGCAGGGGTTTGGGAGTTGGGGGCGGGGGTGGGGAGGCGGAGAGTACTAACCCAAACCCTTTGCATGTCATAAAGCCCACCTGGCGCACAAACGGACGGCAGTTTAACGACATCCAAGTTCTCCGCGTATCTGATCTCACCGGAAAACTTCGTGGCCCATAAATTAAATGCAATGATGACGATGATGAATGGGCAGGGTTCGCGAAATGCCCAATTCGAAGTGACGCTTTTGTCCTGCAACTGTCTGCACGTTTTCATCTTCCATCTTTACGGTTTTTTGCTTCATCTGGTTCTTGATCAATCAAATTAAGCCGAATTTCGAGCAATGCATGGTCTAGCGTTGTCATAGTGACTGATGATCGACCCAGGCTGCACGTTTGGCTTGAAAATTCAATATTGAGTTTGGGTTGGTTCCTCAGTTGCTGTTTTTGACCACGTGGAAAGAACGCAAACGGATCAGTGCAGGTGTCAATTGCTTGAGACACTGTCATTTCGCGTCACCATTTAAAGCTAGTGATATCGCAGCCCATTTTGTACAAAACACCTGAGTTGTGTGAACTCGGAAACTGCTTTCAAACCGTCCTGTGTGTTACACCAGTTTCCGTGGGGGTTTGACAGGTGGCAAGCGCCGTTTTGCACCTAAGTGTAACACAAGCACACCGATGTACGGAAATGTTGCGTTGTACCGCCTGCGAACGCGACTCAACTTTCCTTAAGGCGTGTTGCACGCAGTTGCAACTACGGTATTCCACCGTGGCCGGAGCAGGCTCCGGTTCACAAGCTGATTGCGAACAGCGTTCAGGCTCCTCCCAATCTCACGTTTGTCGGCTTTTTCCGAATCCAAAGTGCGCCAAAACTATTTACACATATGTTAATGAATCTGGGAATATGGTGTATTCATCACCTACTCTCTGATTGGTCGAGATGTTATGACTCACACGTTGAGTGTATCGTTTCGTGCCCTAGTAAGGACTAAGGTTTGGGCGCTGGGTGTTGTGGGAGGGAAGGGGTAGGTGCCTACGTTCCAGCTCAAACACATTTTTGCACCAATTTGAGTTAACAAAAACGCTGAACACATCATCCGAATTGTGTGACAGGTGGTGTAAATGACTAGTAGCATTTTCGTTAGCACAAGGCGATTCGTGTATTGCGTTTTAGTTTCTCTGCTGGAGTTCCATGATCTGACCAATTTTACCGTGCCACTGGGTGTCATTACTGGTAATTTCAGAGAAATTACCGGACAATTAAAATTGACCAATGAGATCACAGAATTTGCGCAACTTGCTCAAAAGATTATTGGTCTTCCCGGCCTCTTTACAGACCGAACGGTGAACTCACTTGCCCGAAAACTTTATATATTTGTTGATCTGCCCAAATTATGTTTTCTTCAGAGCTGATGGTTAATTGTGGAGTGTAGAATACCCGACCCCTAGTATGAAGGAGACTGGTACAACAGAAGAGGCTATATTGACCAATCACAAGCCAGAATCAGACGTCAACCGCCTTCAGAGTCCTCCATTACATACCGCTTCCCATACATGTCTGCCTCTGGTTGGCTGTAGGTCTTCCTCGCATGTCATTCGATCACAAAGAGACAAAGGATTGGCTGAGGCCAGCGTGGTCCAATATACCTGCGCCCTTATCCGTCGCTACATGGGGTTATTACATTAGGTGGTATTCCGAACGGGAAACTCAACTCCCAAACCCATTCCAGCCAATCAGCTGGCGACTTAACGCCCGTCTTGCAAAGGGGCGCATAGGGTCGGCTTCTCAAACTCACGTGATCGAATAGGAGTACAGGGAGGAGTGTAGATTCCGGAGGGTGCGTCAGAGTCGGAAAACGCAACGCCGAGAAGGCGGAATTGAACCGCTCCGACGCTAATCGGCTGCAGGTTTGAAGCCTACACCCCGGACCACCGAGGTTCATCCCGGCAACCGGCGTGGCTAAAATATGCTGTACTAAACCAGCAGACAAATCATGCAAATTTTAATTACATATTATTTGACATTCAGTTTTAACATTTACGGATTTACTTATCAACATTTTGCTGCAAAACTTTTTTGCAACGGCAGTATTATTTTAATTTTGCAAATACTCATCTAATATTCACAATTTTTAAAAATTATTGAATTTATAATTAGTAGTATGTGCGTTACAATTAAATATTTAAAAGCATGACCGACGCGGCCGAGCGCCACCATTGAGGTTTACACGAGAAACAGCCCACATCGTTGACATGATCTGACCAACTATGCTTTCGTACAACTCAATTCTTAATTTTTATTCACAGGAACAAAAATTGTCCCGATATTTGCTGTGGCCTCATATCACAGCATACAACACTCCGATATACCCAGAATACCACGGTGACACTCGCGTTTCGTCAACTTTGACGTCATCATTTTAAGAGGAAAAGGCGTTCTCGAAAAAATTTTTATTTACAAAAACAAGTAGACACAAGGACTAATCATCGCTTCCTTTTGCCGAATTTTTTCCCGCCTTTTCCGCGCTTCGGTCGTTTGTGCTTTTTTTTCTTGTTCTAGAAAATTTCAGTTAAAAAATAACCGAAACGAGCGCCTACTATTGCACGCGAAAGTTGGATCTCCTCCTCATCGTCCGACTGAAAAATAAACACTACTTACTTGGTTGCAGTAGGTAGTAAGTGAAACAAGATAAAAAAGGAGACTAACGCTTTCGAGCAACTTGCGAATGTAATCCATCCGAGTGGAAGTGTCGAGAAATTCGCCCCGCTCCATCCGCTTCTGCATCAGTCGCTCCTTCTTACTAAGTGGTACACGGGTGAAGTTCTCTTCTTCGTATCTGAAATGTGGCCACGCATTATCAAAGTTAAAAAGAGGCCAGTCTCGTCAAACAGCAATATTTCTGTGAGGTAGGACTGTGAGGGACTTAGTTATGGCATAGACAAAGAAACATCAATCACCTTTCACGTTCTCGCAGTTTGGCGACGAACTTTCGGTCACTGTTGGACGAGCCGAACTAAAGAGAGTCAGAGCGATAAACGCGTGCCTACATAGATCTCCACGGGCAAATCCTCCTCTTCCATCAAATCAGCATCATCAAGCAATCGCTTTGCAGCTCTGCGCTTCTCTCTCGAGACCTTTTTTGGGGCTTTTGACGAGTCATCTTCTACAAATGGGGGGGAGGAATAGATTGGTAGTGAGGAAACTGAACACAAAACAGTGCTCATTGTCACCGTGATTTGCAAAAGTAGCCGATTTTCGATGTAAATGAATTGAAAGTAATAACTGAATTGCAAAACCAAATAGCTCAAAGTATCTTTAATTCTACTTACTACTTATGAAGGCATAAAGCAGTGCAGTGAGTATTCTTACCATAAAATACTGGGTTGAGATGAAGGGGGCGATGAATGCCACCAGATTCTGTCTTAGCTTTCTTGGAATCGTTCTCGTAAATATTCTATACGTATTAAGAAATTTATTGGGGAAATTTACCACAAAATTGCCTAGCATTGGCTTGCAAGGCTCCATGGTAAAGGGAACTGTAAACGAAGAAAATTAACGTATTAGCCGAAATATGAGATAGAGTTAAGGAGCTAGTGGGCTGTGATAAACATGGAATAGTCTAGCGAAACTTCAGTTTAAAGAACGCAAAAACACAGAGTGAACAACACGACGTTGGAGTTTTTAGAAAATGGAAAACTAAACAAAACCCACACTGAAGAAAAAAGCGAGTTCAAAAAAAGACTTAATTTCCTCATAAAACTTCAAAATTTGCCATAAAATACCATTCAGTAGAGCAAAGATTAGAAAAATTGGTGGAGGCAACAAGTGTAACGCGCTCCATTCGACTCATGCACGCCGGTCTGACCTGTTCTTTGTCCTCCTTTCCCTTACCACACGCCCGTGAGTTTGAAGGCAACGCCGTCCCTCCTCGCGGCCATCCCTCTCCCCGATCTAACCCTCCCTAAGCTCTAGCCCTCTGAATTTGTGTGCGGCAGTATGGAATACATCCGATTCTTCCAGTTATTCTTCTATCGTGTGCCTGGTGCATAACCATGATAGTGTGGCCATCTAAGAGGGACGGGCTAGCAGTTATCAACCTATTTAGGCCCCCGCTCGTTAGGCGCATTACACAAGGACAAAGACTTTTACGAATAGATTTGAGTATGATCCAATGAGTTGGGTCTTAGGTACGTAAAATAATAACTAAAAGACAGAGTAGGACATAAAACTAGCATCGTAATTTTACCTGAACACAGGGACACGTCTTTTGAAATAAGGCGTGAAGCAGGGATATATGCACACTATTTCTAGGATTGCGCGTTTACACCTCGAGGCCCGTACAAGGAAAGAAACGATGATGCGTTTCAACATCAATTCTTCTTCCATGCTATAATGCTAAAGCAAATAGTGTGCAAAATTAAAAAAAAATTATTTAGGCTTAACCAAAGGTGTCGGGCTTTAAACTCATTTCAAAATAAAACACTTCATTTCAGAAAATGCAATTGTATAAATCCATGCTTTTCAGCTGTTGACTAGTGATAATTTAGCACCATTATATCAAAACTACTAAAAGCTGATTCGCCAACAGGTTTGTTAATTTAAATCCTAATAGATTTTACGTAATAAGAAGGCCTTTTGTTGACATCACGTTGCTTATTCCATCAATTTAAATAACCAAATTGAAGATGTCGCATTTAGGATGGCGAGAACGAAACTATTTTTACAAAAAGCAATGCACCTTTTGATCCTCAACACTGAAGTTAATGGTCAAAAAACGGAGTTTTAATTAGATCTTTCATCTTTTAGTGTACAAGAAGGCGTTAGTTTAAGTTAAACATTTCTAAATGCGTATTTTAAGTTTCTTTTAATTTACAATAAATTGAGTGGTCGCGAAAATTCATGCTATAATTATATGCATTATTAATTGTACCTTTTCTATAAAAACAATTCTTTTTTGCGAAAATGCAATCCCCATCTTCTCCAGTCTCTGTCTTACGAAGTTTTCAGAGGAGAATATAACCCACTATAAATAAAAGCAGTTTTTACAATTCGCAAGGTGTTACTTACCACTTTATTAATCTCTGACTACTTTCACAAAGCCTTGGTACAAAGTGCGTGATTTCTCTTTTAAAGAGTACCGTAAGAATACCGATATCGAATTTATTCGTAGAAGTGAAATTTACGCATTGCAGCGTACTTTGCACGGAACAAAACAAATAAATGTGGGAAGAAGGTAAATCAGAGGAATGCGACAAGTATTTTTGTCAAGAAATTGTCCAAGATTCGTATTTTACGTTCCTGTATTGTCTAATGAACAATATATATTGTCCGACTTTGTCATGGTGGAAGGTTACGCCTTATCGATTGCCAGAATTCGCACACATTTCTACGGATTAAACATTGCGTTATATGAGTTACACACATTACATTTTTGCAATTTCTTCGTGGAAACGTGAATAATGGCTTAGATAATTATTTCTCGATTTTCCCATCACAGGACTTGCAACACGCTTCCATTTTGAATAACGTTTAACTCCACTAAAGTTTCATTTTCCAAGAAGCGATGAACGAAAAATGCATATAGGAACATGGTTAAATTTGTTGCGTCCAAGCCAATTGCACAGAAGCCAAATATCAACATTTAAAGTGCCTCAATTTGGTTTTACATGGTGAAAATAGTTCCAATCTTAATATCTGTTCCTTAATCTGATCAAACTAAGCACTCGGACCAATTTAAAGTACAAATTATTTAACATGGCAGGAAATCGGCTGAATATTTGGCAATTTGAATATTGATCCTGCACCCAAATTAATGTAAAGAAACATCGTCTGCGCCTATGTTTATTCACGACGGCCTTTTTGGTAAAGAAACTGTTTTTAAATAAAACCGATTTTCTAAAAATTTTGCGTACACATGGGGTGCTATGAGCAAGAAAATGATTAAATACATGAAAACAGGTGCCACTTATGCACACGTTTGAAGTATTTACAGAAATTACGATGATGCGATGTGCAAAATTAAGGCTCTGTCGCAATTTTCGACGGATGCTTTTTGAAGTACCCCTCCGATTAGCGTAGCCCTAAATGGTTATTGAAAATCTATTCAGCCATAGATTTTGATTCTAAGACTGCCCAAACTCAAGTATGGAGGATTGAGGTCAAACACGGCAAGTCTTCACAAAACACGAATTGCCAAAACCAATCTACAGCATCCGCCTATCCGAAGCTACACCACCTTTTTGGTGGGAGCTTCTCTTCCATTCTAGTCTCCGATTGGCCACTTAAACAACCAGAGACAGGAGATTGGAAAATTCTTGGCGGGATCCAAGATGGCTGTTGTCTATGCTAATGTAGCGACGTATAAGGGCGCAGACATGTTGGACCACACTGGCCTCAGCCAATTTTCCCTTTGCTTCCCAAGACAGGCAGCCAACCAGAGACAGACACGATTGAGAAGCAGTATGTAGCCAGCGTGGTGGGCTCGGTGGACGGCGCCTGACGTGTGGTTCTGGCTTGTGATTGGTCGATAAAGCCTGTTCTGCTGTACTAGTCATCTTTCCACCAAATCTCGGATATTCTACACTAGTACCTCGATGTCCCAAACCAAGTGATTTGTAAATTGATTTAGTGCTTTAGACAATGAGTACATCATTCACGATTGTGTTTTGAATGGGACGCAGAATTCCGAACCAGTTCAAAGCAGCAGACAACTTAAAAAAAAAACAAATTGAATATTTGCCTTGATATATCACGGAGCGGCTGTTGATTAAGGACTAAAACTTCTACCTACTTTTGGGGAAATATTGATTTTCAGGGGGATCAGTTTAATTGGTTAGTTTAGGCTAATGATGTCTCCAACAAATGCTTTTCATCTTGCTTCATTCTTTACAAGATTCCACTTTCATGATGTAGTTGACAATATGGAGAGCTTTGAGTAGCATCAGACGTGTTCTTTGTCAATTCAGTGTGCAGTTGACGCTAAGAAAAATTACATTACGGTCAGTTTGTAAGAGTTTCTATCTTCGATGGTTTACAAATACCTTCCACGCCGAATGTGGCACGGTCATTCAGGTTCACTAGATGTCAAAATGAAATCGATTTTCACGCAACAGATGGGAGTTGGCGCTTGTGACTTCAAGTAAACCGTAGTGCATCCTAACTTGTCCATTTAAACGAAATGCCCTGGCAATGATAATCGAGACAAATCAATGTAGTTGTTCCTTTCGTGTGCAGTTTCAAATATGCCGCCAAACAAGTTTTCAGGTAATTTAAAAGTGCTTTACAGTGAAAATTCTTTTCTAAATATTCATACTTTTTAGGAAGTACACACATTTTGGGCTAATCCATGGCAATTCCTGTTATTTTTTTTACGCATGCGTAGATCGGAATTCGTGATAAATGCCGTCGAACGTGTCCACAAGCGATTGGTTACTCTGGACCCACGCACGTGTAAAGTCACGTGCTCACGTGGCAACGACAATACAGAACATTTTTGAGTTGGGAAACTAAAGTGACCAATAAAAAAGTACACTTCAAGGACACGGAAATAACTTGATGGGGTTTTCGAGTGGGCTACGCGAACAGTTAGGTGTCCGTTGAACCATTACTGAAGCAAAAATTTGCCGAAAATCATAAAAATCTTGCAATCCGGCCACCATATATTCGCGAATATGAATAACCGACATTACAAAAAACGGCAGTTTTGAAACATGTCAGACAGCTTAGCTTTGAACTCAATGTACATCATTGGATTTTGAACGCGTTATCACATTTCCTGACATGGGGTTCACACTAGCGTCCGGTGTTATTTAGAATTTAAAAATATTATCCTGAGTGCCACAGCAAATGCGAAATCGCCTCCAACAGAAGTCTACGTTTCATTTAGTAGAGGCTTCAACTCTAAAAAGAACCAGTAGTAGCGTATTTAGTTAAGAAAATGATTGGGCGTTCGTTCGCCATTAAACGTAACTATACAACTCCCAGTTTCTTTCTGTCTTGTGTTCTTGGAAGATTCGTAGTTGTCAGACCGTGGTGCTGACGTACTTCGTGAATGCACAGGTAACCTTGATGACGCCTGTGTTCTGAGGTCTCAGGAAAGGCGGATGGATGTAGAAAGGTGCTTCTGGGTTACTATATTTCTCACACACACATACCGACTTCTTCACACGTCTAGACCTTAAAGATATGTTGTGGGCCCCGGCGTGTGGTCTTGAACCACGTTGGGGCCACGGAATTAACCCGGGCCCGATTACGCCACCCTGATACCCCTGATGAAGAAAAAACCGAAGAGGATGTTTAAAACAAAAAAAAATCATTTCACAGCTCAACCGAATTGGTGTCGTTGTGTCGGGTGTGGCGTTTGCGCATGTGTATTTATAGCTTAGATGTGTGAGTCATAGATGCGCTAACATCGAGGCCTAGGTGTGAGGACAATCTAAGATAATCGTTCGCGCC